CGCCGGCATCGGCCGGGCCGCTTTGCGACAACATTCGTGATTGTTGGCGAAAGTGCGCGGCGCACCTCACTTCGCGAGTCGCATCGAGCCCGAAGAGCGTCCCCATCGGACCCATACCCCGGGGCGACGCCCACTCGAAAGCGAGGATGGTGTCGTCGGATTAGGAGGTGCGACTCGGTTATAGAGCTCCCCACGGCCGCGACCCGAATGGGACTCAAGGCGGTGTTATGGCAATCAACATGGCGACGCAAGCGCCAGAATGAGCGCGTGCTGCCTTCTTTGCGATGGTGGCAACGCCACACAAGCTGAGCACCTTTTGAGACCTATTTAAAGGGCTTGGCAGACTCTTCCCCAAAGCTGAACAGATAGACCCCAATCAAGACGACTCACATATGCCGCACGACTGCTGCCGTGCATCGTTCGACTTTCGACTTGTTCTAGCAGGCTCCTTGAACTTCACAAGCATTACGACCCGCTTTGCCAATACAGGCACGGGGCAAGGTCAAGGTAAGCCGGTCTACCCTTGTTCCTTGCGCCTCATTCTCGACCGTCCGCACACCTTGCTGCGCTCGAGGCACGTCGACCCAAGGGCACAGTCACAGCAGTGCTGTTTGCACTTTTGCTGCTGATCTCGGCGCCGATCCTTGCTCGTGCCGTCGAGCTCACCAAAAGCCTGCTTCTGTGCGCCAATCGAGCACCGGCAGGGTGTGGCGTACCTGATACGACTGCGCTTCGGCCACCCATCAGCGCCCACTGCTGCTGTAGACCAAGTCAAATTGGCTCAGCATCTGCCCAGCTTTGTCTCACATCCTGAGACCGAAGTGTGGATTGATCGATATCTCGCGCCATATAATCGAGCGCGTGCTCTACCTCGGCACGTCCGTGTCACAATTTGCGAATCTCGAGACCGTCGCAGATATATAAGGGTCAGGGATAGCAAGTTCACCAAAGTCAAATCCTTGTGCCCATCCTCAAACCTCGCGACTGTTCAAGAATATCGTCAAGCGACCCTCAAAACAGCTGATCGATCAGGGATTTACACTGTCCAGATGCGCAAGTCCGCAGCTCGGCGCTCGGCCGCTATCCTTGTCCTGCTGCTCAGTGTCAGGTGAGCAAAGCGCCGCGATCGGTGCACGCGCCTTCCAATGCTGACATTCTCGCTTACTTTTCTCAGCCTGGCGGTGTCTGGCGCCCCCGTCAAGGAAGCGCGTGCACGTAATACAGCAAGTCAAGAAGTGCTGGACGCCAGGGCGCAAGTCTATGCGCACAAGCTTCACGGCAACACCTTTTTGAGGACGCTAAAGAACAGACCACAGCCTCGTCAAACCAGCGCTGCGGACTTGCCTGGCAGCTACGAGAGGCGCGAGTCTGGTCTTCCGGACCATCAGCTCCTGCCGCGTCAGCCCGACCTGCAATACTCGACTGCAAACGGCGTTCAGGTGCCTCGCGACCTTGGAAGCACTCCTGAAAAGCTTGGCAAACACCCGCTCAAGTGGCACTTGAGATCCGTCGAGGATGGCACGTCGATACAAGAGATTATTGTGCAAAGAGCCACGGATGAATGGGAGGAAATTCAAGCGCGCGCACAGCGCATCCTGCCAAAGACGCCCAGCAATCGGTATGCGAACATACGAAAACGTCCTCGTGCTGTTGTCGAAGCAGCTGCTTTCTTGACGGCCAAGATGCTCGACCGCCGTGGAGTGGCAACAAGCGCCGGCTTGTTGAATGCTCAACCACTTCGTCGTCGTCAGAATTCACCTCCGACCTCGTCGCCCTCCAAACCAGGCTTTACCGGCTCTGACTCTACCTCCAAGCACCCGCCGCCGCATCGCAGAGACGTGCAAGAAGAGATTGAGCACATAGATCGTCGTCAGCTTTTGGGTCGCGGTGATCCTCCCCCCTATGCGTGGCCTGGGCCTGGCACGGGCACTCCGCCGCCTGATAGGAGGGACGCACAAGACGAGCCGGTGTCTATCAACTCTCGTGAAGATCGCTCGCAGTCTACAACTCCCTACGCTTTTGATTCCGTTTCAGGCGCTTCCAGTCCTGGCCACGGCTCCGAAGGCTCTAAGCGCCCGCCAAAACATCGTAGAGACACGCAAGAGGAATTGGTTCACGAACACGAACAGGTTGCTCGCGAAGAAGCTGGGACTGTGAGCTTGCCTGAGCCTCCTGCAGGTGAGAACACGCCAGGTCCTCTTCCTCATCACCGCAGAGAGGTCCGGGAAGATGAACGGGTCGCTCGTGATCAAAGTGAAGCATCTGCTGCGCGTGGGAACGTCAAGCTAGAAGGCGCCCCTGACAGAAGAGCCCAAGAGGATATGCTGGTCACTCGCGACGAGGACGAGTGGGGAAATGAGGGCCCGGCAGAAATCGAAAACCCTCCTCGAAAGAGGGCTCAGAAGGATACGCTTGTCGTTCGCGAGGACGATGGTGGCGCTTCCAGCCGTGAAGACGACGGTGGTAAATCTAGCTCTGACGGCGGTAGTGGCGGTTCTAGCTCTGACCCAGGTTCTTCCAAATTAGGAGAGCGCAGAAGCGTCCAAGACGAGTACTTTGCTCGCGATCAAGTACAGCAGCACACCATCCGCATAGGAGTGCTGCGCAAGCGTGGAGCTGCCGTCACCACGACCGCTCATGCCGACGGTGTCTTCTATCTGCACGTGTTGCCCTAGCTCCACGAGCCCTTGCGAACATAGCCAGACACGTACCCAAACAATCAGCCCAGAAGGTTACCCAAATTGAGAACGAAGTCGAGCGTTGCGAATACCGATCTACTCGTATCTATATCTTTTTTAAAACACGTATACACGCAGAATTTTCAATACTTGCATCACAGTCAGCAGTCCGAGTCACTCGAGACGCATCGTGGAAGAAGGCCGACTTGATCGCGCTCATTGTGTGCGATGCGTTTGCTTGACGATCTCGTCCAACCAAGAAAATGTCTGACGACTTTGCTGAGCTATCGAACGGGCGTCCAAAGGCTGGCTTTGCGAAACCCTCTCGAGTGCTGTGCGATCGGAGGGTAGGGGTTGCTTTTGGGCTACAGTCTGTCTGAGCGCGAAAGTGGGCTGATCTTCGACAGCGTGACCAATCCTGGAGACTTCGTCATGCTGATGCTCCGGTCCCGTCGTTTTATAGACGACAATGTCCTGGATCTGGACCTCTGGTATAATCACACCCCCTGCCTCTTTCTCTTTCTCGATTTGCAAATTGGCCTCTGCCCTGTCTTGTAAGCGCTCTAGGGTAACGACGTCGACGACTTCTCCCGTGTCCATATCAACCCATCTGACCCCGAAAGGATTGTCTGGCGTGATGGGCGCCCTGTACATCTCTGAGCGTAGGCGATTCGTAGAGGGTGCTGTTTGGACCTGCGGCATGCCGGCGGCGCTCCAAGGAACTTGCTTGAGAGAGCTCGTCTTACAAAGGTGATGTGAGCTCGGAGAATCACGCGGTCGAGGCCCCTTACGTAGGTCCTTAGGCTCAGCCCTTGCCGCTGCGTTGGTCGCAGGAATACCGGGCTGCTCGAGCCCCCTTTCCAGGCCTCTCGCTTTCATGGTGTTTGCAATCTTGGGCCGTTTTAGAGCTTGACGGACCAAGCGGCTAGAGGGCACATTTTCGCTGGTTCGAAAAGTCTTGGTGTGCGACCAGTCGGAGATGTCCAGCAAGAAGGCTCGTTCATCAGACAATCTTCCTGAATTCTGTGAGCCTGTGGTCAGATCTTGATGAGCCTGGCTTGCATCCTCGCAGACCGCAGAGGCAGGGCTATCCAGAGCAGCTTGACGCAAGTCACCGTCTCTGCTAGGCGCGCGCCTTGCGTCCGTTGACTCGTCAATGCCCTGTTGCAGAGTCTGAGCCGAAGTCTCGAGGAGGCGTCCCTCGTCTGCGTCTGCTGAAGGGATCGACCTAAACTTTGGTACTGGAGGCACGAAATTGCGTCGAGATCGCAGAGCTACATGCCTACGTTTTGTAAAAGCAAACGGTCAGATGCGAGCAATGAAAGATGAAGCCAATCATCACGAGAATGTGGATGGATGTTCAGCCTTAGGCTCAGCTTTCCATTGCTCACTTTGTACCGCCCGTCCAGTTGACCGCCATAATGCAGTCGTTTCGCCGCTCAGAACGCGATATGGACGCTGATACGCGCTTGATCGAGAGCTATCGAGACATCGACGTTGCAAATCCAGCTGGCAATCGTGAATGCTTGAAGCTTCTTCACGTGGACGTCCGGTCCGAAGCAGATCTCTGTTGGCCCTTCACTCGGCGAGAACCGAGCGAAGGCGAGAGTAAGTGCAGTGTCGTGAGCGACAGCATTCAACCATATACAACATGCTTGGCGTGTATCTGGACAGAGCGCAGGTTGGCGATGGCAAGCACTAAGACTCTTTTGTTCTGAAGCTTCATCGCTTGACAAGGCGCGCTTCGGTTTGAGTCAAAGTATGTTAGTGCGCCTAAATCTACCCTCCGTCAAGCTGCGTATTCGAGGCCATATTCACCATTCGTGATTCGTGACTGGTGACTGTCGAACTCGTGGTTACCTTGAGTCACGAGTGTGATCGAGGCGCGCGGTAGGTAGAGGCGCGCGTACGCGCATAGGTGCGCCTAAAGTCAGTTGCGCGTGTGCTTTGCTTAAACCGTGGCGGCATAGCCACACGCCACGCACGTCCCTCTCGTTGTCCGCGTTGCGCATACACGCGCGAAATGCAGCTCCAGCAGCCGATTCAAGATTGAGGCGGGGTCGGAGTGATGTTCGCACGTGAGCGACCCCGGCAACACACCTACCTGTCCCTTCTTCATCTCCACAACCACACACACCCCTACACCACATCACCATATATCGCATGCCGCTTCCTGCGGGCAGCTGAATCATTTGATCTCTGATCTCTTGTCAGTGTTGTGCCGTGAGGCGGCAGCTGTTGCTTCGCAAGCTACACGGGCGCATGGCGGTGTGACGAAAGTCAGGAATAAGGTCCCTCCCAAAACACACGCAGCGGGGGAACATTTGACAGGTCAAGTCTGCTATAGGCTAAAGCTTTAGCTTAGAGAGCTTGTGCATTCTGCATCTTCAGATCCACCACGGCCGTTCAGCTACCGAACCGCTTCCCCTTGGCGCACCCTGCATTCATCCGAGCACACCCTTGTCATCATGTCGCGCAAAAAGTCGACACGAGGTCCGGATTTGCGTTCGCGCATACAGCACTCCAACACTGCGCTGGGAGGAGGTACGGAGACTGGAGCTATGCCCAACATGCCTCGTTTAGCTGCTGGAACGATGGGAGCGCAAATGATGCCTGCTGGGAGCGGAGGACTAGGATTGCCTGGTACCAGCGGTGGCAGAATGGCATACAATGCCCAAGGCACGCAATCCACGTTGGCGTCTTCGCAGGGTATACCTCAAAGTGGGAGCAGTCAGGGCTATCTGAACACCATGACCGCTTCAAGCAGTGCATCTGGCCAGAATCTTGGAGCCGGCCCCAGCTTTGTTAGTCTCACTCCGAGCGACTCCATCTCGAACTATGAAGGTCGGGCTGGTCATGGTGCAGCTGCAATGCTAGCCTCATCATCTCATGGACCTTTGGCAGACGTGTATGAGCCCAGCGGAGGGTCCACAGCCAGTTTTGCCCAAGGACAGTACGAACATTCAAATCAGTACTACGCTCATGCAGCTCCAGGAGGAGGAGGGGAGACGAGCTTGATCCCACCTGTAGCTCATCAGGAACCTTCTAGCCATCCCGCTCGACCTGCGCGGAGCGTCAGGAGGCCTCAAGGGCAGCAGCAAAACGGAGCCACAGCTGTGCCTTCAGCACGCCCAGGCGTTGAGCCCGCTGCGAGCAGCACCGGCCCCGGTCGAAACCTCTTGGATCGAACGCGCACTCCCGCTGCACGACCCCAAGCTGGCGGGGCTTCTGATCGACACGCGACCAGCGCAAGATTAATGGCTCAAGTCAATGGGCAGAATGGGAGAGAGACACCGAGCTCAGTTGGAGATGAGGACGAGGAAGATCCGTATGGAGGTATGGATGATGGTCATGCGCGGGGCCCAAGCAGCCCCCCACTTAGTGCAGACGTCTCGCCGACAGTGGGACAGCTCAGTGGACGGAGCGAGCCTGCTGCTCTAGGTAGCGTCCTGTCTGCTCTCAGCGCAGCTGGACGCAAACAAGGTGCACAGCGTATCCTCAGAGGCACCACAGCCGAAGAAGAGTCTAAGCGCAGAAGGGCCGAAAGGAAAGTAGAAGAGGCGAGGTCGAGAGAGAGCAAACCCATCGAACACTACATCGACAGGCGGGACGAGAGGGCTTTGAGAGGCATCAACGGTGTGCTGAGAAAAGTCAAGGCAGAGTGGGGCTTTGTGGCCGAGGATGACTTCAGCCCCGTCGCACTTGCGCTCAGCCTGCTGGATGATAGCTCGCTTGGCGCGAGCAGGCACGATTTTGAGATGATTAAGGACGGCATGGAGCAGAGCCTGCAGGGCACAGTGGATGGTGAGCATCTCGCCGTCTGCGCTTTTGATACGCGTCCTGCTGATCCAAGAGCTTTTGACGTGATGCCAATCCTTGCCGCTAGATCATCACGAATCGTTCGCCAATGCCATCACCCTGCACAATAGTGTTCTGCAATCGCTCAGTGCAGCGCAAAATAGCGTGTCTGGAGCGCGCAGGCGATTACGAGACTCGCGAGAAGCACTTGGACAGAAGAGGGCGGACCTGGTACAGCTTTGGCAGCGATCGCAAGGAGTGAAGGAATCACTACGGCTCTTGGATCATGTAGAGCAACTCAAAGGCGTCCCAGATCGCCTCGAATCTTTGATGTCGGAGAAGCGCTTCTTGCAAGCTGTCAATCTCTTGGCCCGCAGCGTCAAGCTAATTGACAAGCCTGACATACAAGAAGTTGGTGCTACTCAAGATCTCAGGACATACCTCAAAGCTCAAGAGCAGGGAATGTTTGAAATTTTGATAGAGGAGCTGCACAATCACCTGTACCTGAAGAGCTTCTTCTGCGATGCTCGATGGAAGAGTTATATGTCTGGTCAAGAGCAATTGCCAGACGTCGACTTTGGTCGCGAGTACGACGGTAACACGGAAGTGGAGCCTTCTGAGCGCGCTTCAGCTGCTTCGCCTGTCGCGGGAAGGCGAATGAACACTGGTGCGAACAGGAGCATCAGTGGGCTAGACTCCGTGACGGATAATGAAGGCAAACGCGCCACAAAGCTCACTCGATACCTCAATAATCTCTCCTCGAGGCCTTCCTTTGATCCGAATCTCGCCACCGAGCTGCCCGATCTTGGTCTGCCTCCTTCCATGTCCAGCCATGGTCTGACCAGAGAGGGCGCAACGATGAATGGGCAGCCACCCACTGCTGGAGCGCAAATGTCCGCCTCTAAAAGCAGCGACTCTTTCGCAGCGACTGGAATGACGGGCAGTACCAATGGGCAGAACAACGAGACGCTCCAAGCGGCGGCCATTTTCGACCAGAATCCCGAAGCGGACTCTTTCCTCTACATTGAGATGCTGCTCGAGAGTCTGTCAAGGCTGGGCAAGCTGGGCTTGGCGCTGGATATTGTTCAGCAGCGCCTGCCCATTGAATTGCATCAGTTGGTCGACGCTACCATCGACGAGGTTGACCAGCGCAACGAGCCTCTGCGCATTTCTTCCGCTTCAGCAGCAACGACTCTCCAAGCCGCAACGATGCAGCCCGAGTCTATCCTGCTAGCTTCGTCTGCAGCCTTGGCTCGCTCATTTGCCGAATCTACGCGCACGTCGTTCAGATCGAGCTTTGGCTCAGGTTTGGCCAATCAGGTCGCTTCCGGCGCTGTGGGGCCCGATGGTAGACCTTATAGCACCGTGCTCCGCTTGAGCGAAACCGAGACGTCGACCGTCGTGCGAGATAGCGAAACGATGAGGGACCTGTTCTGGACGCTCTTCTCAAAGTTGGATGCGGTGCTCCAAGGTCATAGAGTGGTGCATGAGGTCTCGAGCCGGATCGCCACACGCTCCGCGCTGAGCAATTCAGGGCATTCTGCAGATGCAAATCAGTCTTCCGTTGCCGCTAGTATCAGGAACAGAAAGACGACGACGACGACCAATCTGGTCGCAATCTGGAGACCTATTCAGAACGAGGTCAGGACGCTGCTGCATGATCATCTCACAGACGACTCTCAATCAGCCACCGCCCGCAGAAATGCCGTCGTCTCCGTCAATGAGGTCCTTCGCTCTGGCCAGTCTGGCAGAGACAAGGCGAAGAAGCTGTATAGGCTTGCGGAGTCCAACACGAGACCGGTGGGGATTGGCGGCGGCACCAGCGGCGGAAGCGCGCTGGTGACGGCAAGAAGAGATATGGGCCCGCTGAGAAAGCACGAGGAGGCTCTGACCGCTGCTTTGAGAGGCTCTGTCCCGGGTCTCGTATCAGCATTGGACCCGCTCACATCCACAGGATCCAGCATCTCGGCCGCTCAGCGCGAGCATCAAACAGCTCAGGTCATCGTGTCGGCCTCTAGACTGGCCTCGGCTTCCGCCACGATGGGCTCAGCGAGCTCAAGCGGCGGAGAAGCTGGATCTTCTGCGGGCTATCGCCTCTTGGTCAAGCCGGACGCCTTCAACGTCTCTGTGCTATTCCAACCCGCTCTGGCCTTCGTTGAGAGAGCCCAGCGCGTCATTCCTGGCGGAAGCGCTGCTTCCGAACCTTCAGGTAAAGGGTTCAGCGCATTTTTGGACGAATTTGTGCAGGACGTGTTCCTGCCTCAACTGGACGAAAAGGTGCAAAGCTTGTTCGCTTCCGCTGTAGGAGGCTCAGACGCATTCCAAGAGTCCCCGACTTCCAAAGCGTTCTCGATCAGGCCCGTGGTCAAGTCGGCTGCTAATGTCATCGTGCTCATCGACAGCCTCTACTCTATGCTTCGGACAACACCATTTCATAGAGAAAGCTATTCGCATCTCATCATTCAGACCACGGTCCAATACTACCAGCGCTGCTGGGATCGATTCAAGGACCTCACCCTTGTTGACACGATGGATGGCGATGGACTCGGTGGGCTGCGCTCACCTCCGATTCCCAACAGAGGAGGCTCAGCCCAAGCTAGCGGGCATGCTATCAGCGCATTGCATTTCATGCTTTCCGCGGACTGGGCGCAGCGGCAAGACCTTAGCGAGTGCCTCTCGGAGATTCTGTCTTCCAGCTGCACGGCAGATCGCAAGCGCTTGCTGCACGCTCAAGAAAACAAGTTTGAACTGGCACTGGCTGCTAGGAATAGTACGCACCCCGGCTCAAGTGGACCGGGTACGCTATCCCGCCCGCAGAACGGCTCAGTGCGCATGTCGGATCTGATCACAAGTCGCAAGAGGCTGATGGCGCTTGGCAACTTGCAGCATAGTCTGGTGGGTGCTTGTACGCTTCTATTGCCCATTGCTGTCATCGTGCTCGCAGCATATGAGCCAAGGCGCTCATGAGCTGACAATGATACCTCCTCACGGCCAGCGATGGTTCTTGGCCCACATCTCTCGACTGCGAGCAACGGATCAGGTTGTCACTGTTGCTCCAGCTCCGGCTGCTGTGAGTTGAATGACTTGCGTCCGCTTGGCACGCAGTGCTGACCCGTGGTCGACGATTTTCTAGCGCCTATCGGTGATGCAGGGCTTGGCACCCAATCCGGCAGAAGTAGCAGAAGAGCGAGACTTGTCTTTGCCCTTGCCTCTAGGTCCGGAGATGGCGACGTGAGTGACGCTGGCAAAAGAAGGGCGCATCCCATGCTGATCTGACCGCACTTCACCCCCCGCTTCGTTTGCTGCCGCCTGCCAGTCGATTTGCTGCCTTGCCGAGGACGTACGCGTCGCTGGCGAATACGATCCTGATGACTCTGCGTCTCGAATTGCGCGCAAGAGTCATCCATCACCTGGATTTGGCCATTGTGGAAGGCAATTACCTGGTCGAAGAGGCTGTACTCGAGCCAGATCCACATGTTGTGGACCTCAACGCTGAGCTCGCTTCACTCGATGACACGTTTGCGGACAGCGTGTCGCCGGAACAGCATCGGTAAGCATCGCTGTAGACGCGTTTGCCGCAATAGAAATTCTGCTGATCGCGCCACGGATTGACACGCATTCGGGCACAAAAGGTTCTTGTTCTCTGGCTTGGCATCATTGATGGACACGATGCTGTGCGCTTCGGTCCGCAAGATCAGAGCAGTGAATCAGCAGGGCGTGACCAAAATGATACGCAACATCTTGGCGCTACAGCAAAATCTCCGCAATATTGTTATTGCGGACACGTCCAAGTTGACATCGGTCGGCAAACAGTCGCGACAGGGCCTTGATGCTGGGAGGGCGGCCATCAACGAAGACTTTGAGCGGTGGAACAACTTCGACAGGTCTCGAGGACTGTGGGAGCTGTTGAGCAAGGAGCCAAATGTGAGTCTTTGCTCGAAAATGCAACGAAAAGGCGCGTTGCTGATTTCGATTTGATGTTGCACGCGCGCGCGCGTCATGTTCAGATCATGCTGGCGGCGATACGCACGACACCCAGCAGCAAAAAGGCGACTTTCGATGAGTACAAGAGCGCAATTACGCTCATGCTGGGTCTG